TAAATTCAAACTATCGGTATAGGTTCGTAGACTGGTTTAAGTCCTACCTTAGAACAGGGACAAATAGTAAAAATCAACAAAGAATCAGAACCCTCCCGATAACATGTGGAGTTCCCCCAAGGTAGTATTCTGGGTCCCTTATTTTCTTATTTTATTCAATATATGCTATCAGTGTCAGTGCAAACTCCTACTGATGCAGTGCGTGCTCTGTTATGTGGTAAAGACCACAAGATATTGCTAATGTTTTAACCGGGACTGGGAGTCCTGCAGCAAAGGGTTAGTAGAAAACAAACTATCATTACACTGGGAAAATGAACCCATTCTTTTTTGGCACGAAACAAAAAAGAAAAGGGGTAAAAAATTTTAATTTCAATTAAGGGAGCCATCATTTGGTTTCATCAGAAAAATATTTGGGAACCCCCTTTGACCATGCATGTGGGAGAATTGATAGGGAACATGTAGTAAAGAAAAGCAAATGCCAACTGAGGTTCCTGTATAGACAAGCCAGTGTTATTTCTGAGGCTCGCAGGACTCTTGTCTACCCCTTATACAATGCCTTTGGGATTCGTTGCTTTTTGGGACTCCCCTTGAAAAAAAAAAACTGAAAGATAGACTGCAAATCCCCCAGAAAAAAAATCGTAAGATTCACCTGGGCTGGGACCAAGAGAACATGTAGGCCAGGATAAATTACAGCAGGGGATATGTGAATTTTAAAAGACAGAGAAAAACAATGAAGTAAACCCTGTTTTTTAAAAAATTGCTCAAAGCAATGCCCAGAATATTTGCTGTAAATTTTTGTCAAGGTGGGGAACCAAAGCATCATAGAATAGGGGGAGAGAGACAACTTTTTTTGTACCCACAGTCATGGCCGGGTTAAACCCCTTTTTTTACAAAATAAAAAAGGGAAAACACCCCCTTCAAACCTCCTAAACCATTAAAAAAACCCCAAAATTCTTTATGTCCCCAAAAAAAATATTTTCTTTTTTTAAAAAACAACTGAAATTTTTTACCCTTATTTTTAACCCCCTCTTTGAACAATACCTTTTCCCAATGTTTTTTTATATGTAAAAGATGATCTTAATTTAAAAATAAAAAATATTAAAACCCTTTTATTTTAAAATAAAAAGGTAAAAGGCCCCAAGGAAAAAATTACTTTTTGTTTTTTTTGGGTTACCTGGTTCCCCATATGCTGCTAAAATATAAATTTTTATTAACTGTATTTGTGTAAACCTAAAAACCCCAACAATTAACACAAAAAAAAAATTTTTAAAATAGTTAACCATACTTTTGTTAGTTTTAAAGTATGTTTTCTATGTAAAATTATTATCTTGTCTAGTTTTAATTAGTTCTCTATTAGGTTGTTTTCCCAAATTCCCTGCATGTGTGTTGTCTTTTATTTTCAAAACCAAAAAATAATTATGCATTGAAACTTTTTAAAAAATAAAATTTATTTATCTTATCTTATACCCGAATAAAATTACTAAAAATTTAATCAAGGTTCCTTTTCCGAGGGCGGAAGTCAGGGTTCAATTCGACGACACTGTTAGTGGCCCCATAAACAACAACAACAACAACAACAAAAAACAAAAAAACAACAAACAACTTGGTTGTTGTCGGCTGTGATAAAAACAACATTAAACAGTGTTTTTGGTGCTAACACAGGAAGTAACACCCGTGGTGTCTAACACAGGTGAGTAACACCCGTGGTGTCTGCAACGGTGAGTAAAAACCTGTGGTTCTAAAAAGTGAGTAAACCTGTGGTGTCAACAAGGTGAGTAAAACCCGTGGTGCTAAAAAAGGTGGTAACCCTGTGGTGTCTAACGGTGAGTAACCCTGTGGTGTCTAACAGGTGAGTAACACCTGTGGGGTTTTTAAAAGGTGAGTAACACTGGGTGTCTAACGGTGAGTTTTAACACCTTGGCTTTTAACAGGGGAGTAACCCCCCTGTGGTGTTAACACAGGTGTGTAACACCTGTGGCTTCTAACAGGGGGGAGTAAAAAACCGTGGTGTCTAAAACAGGGAGTAAACCTGTGGTGTCTAACACAGGTGAGTAAACCTGTGGTGTCTAACGGTGGTAAACCCGTGGTGTCTAAAACGGGAGTAACACCCGTGGGGTTAAAAAGGTGGTAAACACCCGTGGTGTCAACACAGGTGAGTAAACCCCGTGGGGGTTTTAACAGGTGGTAACACCGTGGGTCTAACACAGGTGAGTAAACCCGTGGTGTTAACAGGTGAGTAACACCCTTTTTGGGTCTAACCCAAAAGGGAGTAAACCGCCTTTTATTACAATACAACATTCATGTGCTGATGATACATGGAGAGTTTGACCCATGAAATATTGGTATTAAGTCGCCGAAATGATCTATCTGTGTCTTTTTTGACTGTTTAGTTGCTAGGTGTTTTCTGTGTTACCGCTGGTGTTTACTGTGTTACCCGCTCAGGGGTTGAAATGTGTTACCCGCTCAGGTGTTGGGTGTGTTCCTGCTCAGGTTTGACGTGTTACCTGCTCAGGTGTTGAATGTGTTACCTGTCAGGTGTTGACTGTGTTATCTGCTCAGGGGTTGACTGTGTTACCTGCTCAGGTGTTAACTGTGTTACCCGTCGGGGTTGACTGTGTTCTGCTCAGGTGTTGACTGTGTTACCCGCTCAGGTTTGGTTTACGTGTTACTGCTCAGGTGTTGACTGTGTTACCTGCTCAGGTGTTGACTGTTACCGCTAGGTTTTTTGATGTGTTTCCTGCCTCAGGGTTGACTGTGTTACCCGCTCAGGTGTTGACTGTGTTACCCGCTGGTGTTTACTGTGTTTTCCCGCTCGGGTTTTTGACTGTGTTATCTGCTCAGGGGTTGACTGTGTTTCCTGCTCAGGTGTTGACTGTGTTACCTGCTCAGGTGTTGACGGTTCCTGCTCAGGTGTTGACTGTGTTACCTGCTCGGTGTTGACTGGTTACCTGCTCAGGTGTTGCTGTTACCCCTCAGGGTTGCTGTGTTACCTGCTCGGGTTGGGGCTGTGTTACCTGCTCAGGGGTTGACTGTGTTACCTGCCCCAGGTGTTGGCTGTGTTCCTGCTCAGGTGTTGTGTTACCTGCTCAGGTGTTGACTGAGTTAGCTGTTTATATTGACTGGCTAGTGCTAGGTGGACTGTGTTTGTGCCCAGGGGTTGTGTGTTACCAGTAGGTGTTGACTGTGTTACTGGGTTTTTGTTAACTGTTGTGCTAGGGGTTGACGTGTTACCTGCTCAGGTGTTGACTGTGTTAGCTCAGGTGTTGACTGTTTCCCGCTCAGGTGTGCTGAGTTAGTGTTTAGGGATTGACTGTGTTACCTGTAGGGTTGATGTGTTATCTGCCCCAGGGGTTGACTGTTTAGCTGTTAGGTATTGACCGTGTTATGCTAGGGGTTGACTTGTTTGTGGTTTAGGTGTTGACTGTTTATCTGTCAGGGGTTGATTTACCTGCCAGGGTTGACTGTGGGACCCGTCAGGGGTTGTGTTACCCGCTCAGAGTTGCTGGGGTGGGCGTGTTAGGTGCTCACGAGCAGGGGTTAGGTGACAGGCAGCAAGCAGGGTTTTAAATGCTCAGGCAGAGCAGGTGTTTGGTGTCAGGGAGTACCGGTGTTGGTTTAGGCAGCAGCAAGTGTTAGGTGTTCAGGCCAGAGCAGGTGTTAGGTGCTCAGGCGCAGCAGGTGTTTTGGTGCTCAGGCGCAGCAGGTGTTAATGCTCAGCGCAGCAAATGTTAGGTTCTCAGGCAGTACCAGGTGTTAGGTTCTCAGGCAGCAAAAAGGTGTTAGGTGCTCAGGCAGTACCGGTGTTAGGTTTTTTCAGGCAGCAGCAAGTGTTAGGTGCTCAGGGAGCGCGGTGTTAGGTGTCAGGCAGCAGCAGGTGTTAGGGGCTCGGCAGCAGCAGGTTTGGTGTCAGGCGAGCAGGTGTTACATGCTCAGGCAGCAGCAAGTGTTGGGTTTACAGGCAGAGCGGGTTAGGTTTCAGGCAGCAGAAAGGTGTTAGGTGCTCAGGCAGCAGCAAAAGGTGTTAGCTGCTAGAAGCAGCAAGTGTTAGGTGCTCAGGCACAGAAGTGTTGGTTCTCAGGAAGCAGCAGGTGTTAGGTGCTGGCAGAGCGGTGTTTGGGGTTTTCCAGGCAGTACAGGTGTAGGTTCTCAGGCAGCAGTAGGGGTTAGGTGCTCGGCGCAGCAAGTGTTAGGTGCTCAGGCAGCACAGGTGTTAGGTTTCAGGCGCAGCAAGTGTTAGGGCTCAGGAGCAGCAGCAGGTGTTGGTGCTCAGGCGCAGCAAGTGTTAGGTGCTCAGGGAGCAGAGGGGTTTGGTGCTCAGGCAGCAGAGGTGTTAGGTTCTCGGCAGAGAGGTGTTAGGTGCTCAGGCAGCGTAGGTGTTTGGTGCTCAGGGAGCAGCAAGTGTTAGGTGTCAGGCGCAGCAAGTGTTAGGTTCTAGCAGCAGTGGTGTTTTGGTGCTCAGACAGCAGCAAGTGTTAGGTGCTAGGGAGCAGCCCAAATTTTTAGGTTCTCAGGGGCGCAGGTGTTAGGGCTAGGCAGCGCAGGTGTTAGATTCTGGCTGCAGAGAGTTTTAGAAATATCGTCCAAGTTATCTAATCTTTTTTTTACCGGAAGCATTTCTTCGGCTGGCAGTGAGGCCATGTGAGGTAACCTCGCAAAATGATGTTAATGTTTGGTATATTGCCCCCGTAGATGTCTTACGTAAAAGTTATCAAAAAAAATGAAAAAAAATTTGGTTATTACCAAGCCTTTTTCATGTCTCATAGGGAGCACAGGGAGTTACCCAAAAAGAAAGGGGATAGTTCTTACTGCATCAGTCCTTGGGGTGTAGGAAAAGCGGTGTACTGCTTTGAAGAGGATCTAACATTACTTGATGATTGTTGCGCAATATAAACTCTGAAAGAAGGAAGCGTCATAAATTTGTGTAGATCCTATCTATTAAGGCATGCTCAGTCCCCCCGGGGTTTTAGCATTTTAAAGGCCCCTAAATAAAAGCAGTCTATATGATTATCTTCCTTCTTAAAAACCCTGACTATGGTGAACAATATGAAAATATGAAGGTTTATGATTTTAGTTTTAAAAATTTGTCTACCTCTCGGGCAAAGCATCCTAAGGTGAACTGGAATGGGATAAATTTTTGTTTTATAGGATTGTCCCTCACTAAGTCAAATTTTTGGACTACCTGGAGGTAACCTGAATATCAGTAAAAAAAATCGAAAAGTTACTACACATTGAAGTATTCATGTCTCTTATGGCATCCAAAGATTATTTAATTTAATGGTGGTTGCGTCCGAGTGGGCAAGAGTCACCCGTCATGTAGTTTTTACTTGGTCTAAGTTAAGGTGTCAGTTAGCCCCTTTACATTCCGTTTTCTTCAAGTTGTGTGGAAAAAAAATAAGTCAAAGTTATTAAGGCAGTTAACAAATTTTTCGGTAATATTTCTTAAGGGTGTTGAATGTTTTTTTAAAACTTTGGTTTCCCCCTTTACTTCTATGAGGTAGTCAAATTTCCCACAAATTTTTATCTTTTTAGGCCTTTCCCTGCTACTAATAATTTATTTGACTTAATCGGCAAAAGACAAGAACTTCATCACCTACTTTAAAAATTCTCCTCTGACTTTTGGAATCAAAAAAGGGTTTTTTATGGTCCATTGACAAGCTTAGGTTTTTTGAAACTATCTCAGGGTTCCTTAGTTTGGTCTAAGGTCAAGGAGAAACTGGTAAGAAGACTGAACCTCAGATTTACCTCCTCATTAGTCCATAATCATGAAGGATGGGCTGGACCTCTGGCCTGTCTAAAGAGAAGTTTTAAAAAGGGGAAAAACCCCAAAAAGTCGGGAAAATTTTCCCCCTGGGAAAAAGCACAGGGAGGTAACGATGCCACTCCTTAGGTTTAAGAGAGCAAAGTTTCCTTAAAAAGGACTTGAGAATCGTGCTGGGGTCAATCCCCCCATTACAGGGGTTTTAAGGGGGGGTGAAAAAGGGGGTTCACTCCCGAAGTTGGTATGATGTTGCATTAAGTCGATGTGAAATTTTGTCCCCCGGTCAGACAAAATTTTCTCTGGGATGCCCACTCTGGAGAAGATGGGCAAAAAGGGGTTCAGCCCCCCTTGTGTAGTTTTGGCTTTAAGGGATGGCTTCAGGGGAAAACCCAAGCTAATAACTAATGTTAAAATATATCTTGTCCCCCCGATGAAAGTGGGAAAAAAGGCCAACGTTTTTCAATAGCTCTCTTTCAAACGTACCGTAAAAAATGGCATTTTTACCAAGGTACTCGCCTGGTACCTCGGGAGGATGACAGTTGGCAAACTTTACATGATCTACAAAGGTAGTGATATCTGAGGCATTTTTGGCCAAAATTAGGTTTCCTAATTTTATTTAGGGTTTTTCGATGCGAGAAATGTCCCGGCCCCTGGAGGATGAGCCATTTTTAAAAACAGTCTCTCTGCATTGACTTGGGGCAACTAAGCTGGAATTCGTCTGTCTCATCATCTGAATTTAACTTTGATCCCGCATCCCCCCCCCCCCCCCTTATTCACGATATCTTTCATATATTCAAATGAATATGAAAGTTTTTCTTTTGGTTAACTTGATTTTGTTTCAGCTGCAATATGGCCATTCGAAGAGATCAGGGCAAATACGTTGGAAACTGACACCGGAGGTCCGTCGATATATTAAAGGCTTAAGTCAGGGAAATCAAAGGATGGATTAGTAGGAGAACCCAGGGCTTTGGTCTGAGACCTGTCAAGAATTTATGTAATCAGAGGTGTATCTTCACTTTTCATCTAAACAAGTGACCCGGTGATACTACTACCCTCGCTTTGCGAGTAGCACGACCCTACTGGTTTGTTGAATCCCACATAATCTCACGAGACATTGTCTCTCTGAAACTTTCGAGGGGCTTCTTGGACTTTACAGGGAAGAGGAATCTGAAACACTTATGTCCACCTTTGGCGATGAAAGGTCAACCTCAGGAAGGATAGAATGGCACCTTTTACCTTACCTATAATACGGAGCAGAAGTGGATGGGATCTAGTACGGCTTCGACCAACCTGTCCCCAAACCAATTTAGATCTACTGTAACAAAAGGATGGTAGGAAAAGTGTTCCGTTAGCCCAAGTAGTCTGAAAGTATAGCAGAGGGAATGAGTTTCTTTAAGGTTGGGAAAGCTTATCAGAATGACTATACATGTTGCATCCGTGTCTCGTAAAAATGGTAGATACAATAAGTCCATTAATGTCCTGAACAGAAGGGTGTGCTTTGTCATTACAGTCTTTAAAACATATCCAACTTTGTTGACTTCTTAGACGGCCAATCTGGGACGTTATGTCCCTTAACACACACAAATGACAAACAAGAATAAAGAAGTCATTTTACTTTCCACTAGAGGCTTTGATTTCTTAAGGTGGATGAAACCCATTTGCCCTTAGGGTTCATCCTTTAGGTCTTTATAGGAATTGTGAGCCCTCTGCATACAGGTCAGCAGCCTCAGCAACTTCTTCTGCTTTAATCAGGTTACGTTCTCTTAATGAATATTATATCTGGTTGAGGAAGAGCTGTCAGGAATGGTCTAGCAACATGAAGTCTCTAAGAGATTCATAACTGTGTTCAATTCCTGAACTCTTATCCAAAAGTCGTAACAAACGAAAGAGTGTTACCTGTAATGCTGAAAGTTTTGGCCCGGCTGTAAGGTGGCCATACCTGAAATCTTCCGGTAAGAATAGTGGGTTTTTGGTATTCTTTAAGGATTGCCTTCTTCAGTAGGTTATAATTACACTATAATATCCTGCGACAAAGTTGCATTAGCGATATTCAAAGCTTTTACCGGAGATAACATTCCTAACCTGGTTAGCCCAGTGTGTCATCAGGCCATTCACAGAGGTTTAGCGGTATTTTAAACCAGATAATGTATGAAAGTTATGTCTTCCCCTCTGTGAAGGGAGGTAAATTAGGTGTTGGAATTGTGCACTTAGCTGCATGTTGTTCATATTACTCCTTCCTTAAATTGTTGTTGGTACGAAGTTTAATTTCTATTTCCCTAATTCTAGGCGAGATTTTTCGAGCTCGCGATCCTTTTCTCCCTCTATTAACTCAAGTTCTCTAGGCTTGTCCCTCACGTTCTTCTAGCTTTTTCCTCACGTTCTCTAGCTTTTTCCTCGCATTCTCTAGCGTTTTCCTCAACTTCTCTATTTTTTTACCCCTTTTGCTCTTTCCTCAAGTGCTTTGATTAACTTTGTTCATCATGTACTCTAGCTCTCTCCTCACGCTCATCCGTCTATCACGGCTTCTTTTGGTCTTCTCTCTCTCTTTCTGTCTTTCCTTGGATTTCTCTCTCAATTTCTCTCTCTCCTTTTTTTCTTCTCTTACGATGCCTCTCTCCTTTCTTCTTCTCTTTCCTTTCTAATACTGTCTTTCTGCTCTCTCATTCTCTCTCTTTCAAGTCCGTTCCTGGATACTTAGCACTAATGAAAGATTCTCAAATTTTTCCCTGTTATTACTAACTTACTTCCAGCATTCATCCAAAACTGGTATTAATCCATTACTTGCAAGAATAACTTAACTATCAGGGGAAATGAAACGGGTATTAAAGAAAACGGAGGGTTCATTCCTGCTCCTCTCAAACTGTAAAAAACCAGAGGGCTCGTCCCCCTACTTCAATTTAAACATATGTATTAATTAAAACGAAGGGTTCTATGCCGCTCCGAGCAAACAGTAAGTAGAAGGGGGTCACTTGACCATCCAATCTTTCCTCACCAACAAATCAAGGAGTGTCTTGACAGTTTCCTTGATATAATAAAGAGCTCAATGAAACACAAATTGTCACTGGAAAATCTCGGGTCCCTAGGAAGTCTAATCCTCCAAAAGTTTTCAAGCTCACTACCAAAAATAGCTGGCAGCATTACCTAGTATTCCTGCCTTGACTGACTTACAATAAATTGAGACTATACACATATCACCAAATCTTTTAAATACCTGTACTTGTAGTCCTACCATAGAGAATGATATACTTATGGTGGTGGTAAACCGTCTGTGGTATGCAGCGTTGAAGTTCCAATGGTTGGAATTGAATCTTGATTCTGTCGAGTCGAATCCTGGCAAGGTCACCACATTGTCGAAGGCTTACTCACCCAGTAACAATTCTGACAGTATACCAAGGCTGGCTCCTCCTCAGGAAAATTTAATGAATAGAAAAAAGAAATCTAAATAACAGCAAACATAAACACTTTATTATATAGAACATAATAAATATAAAACACTCTTAAATATGAAATATTCAACCTACATTTTAGAAAATGCCAAAAATGAAAAAGTTAATGATAAACTCTGAATTCAACGCTAATATATATAGCGGTGTCTGGTGTTGGGTGACACTGAGTGGTTGAAATCGTTAGCCGTTTGCTGATGAAAGGGGGGGGGGTGGAGTGGGTCGCAGCAGGTGTTGGGTTACAACCCACTGGTTCGTTCTTCACAGTATAGCCTTGGTATTTATCCCCATGCAGGAAAGCAGGTCCTTTTTCCACGCAATGTGGGGGTTACATCCCGCAATTTTTAAGGTGCACGGTAATTAAAAAAAAAAGGGGAAGTTGGGTGTTAGTCTTTCCACCAGTTTGCTCGTTGATTGGCAGGTGCCCCCCTTGTATCCAAGAGTAGGTGGAAACTGGAGTCTAGGTTACTGTTTGGGGCAGGGGCCCCCCAAAGTTACCCTTCGGGGGGGGGGGGGAAGGAGGGGGAAAAAGGGTGGGGAGCTAGACTGCCCTACCCTTAAAAGCAGCCGGCAGTCAAACTATCCTTTCGGGGTGAGGGGAAAAAAAGGGCCCGGGTAGCGGAAACCTTAAAAAGTGCCACAATGAAATTTTTTTATATATTATCCCCCTCTATCCTATCTATTGAATTTTCCTAAATCTAGTTAATTTCCCCTTATAACTCTCAACAAACTTTTCACAAAAAAAAAAAAATGTTTTTGCAAAATGTTTAAAAGTTTTTCCCTAGTGATGAAAAATGTTTATGACATCATAAAGTTATTTATCATTTATGTGCTTTTTTCACATAGTTGTTCTGGAACACATGAAATTTTCTTTTTTCTTGAAATCTATGTTCTGATGAGTGATGTTACTGATGATGTGTGTTATTGATGTGTGATGTTTGATGATGTGTGTTATGTGATTGATGTTATGATGAGTGATGTTATGATGATTGATGTTACTGAGTTTTGTGTTACTGATGAGTGATGTCTGATAGTGATGTTTTGTGATGTGATGTTTCTGTTATGTGTGTTATGATGATGTGATGTTATGATGATGTGATGCTAGAGTTGTGTTTTGATGAGTGTGTTACTGATGTGTGATGTTTCTGATGAAGTGATGTTTTTTATGATGTAATGTTATTTATGACATGATGTTACTGATGATGTAATGTTATTGATGATGTGATGTTACTGATGATGTGATGTTACTGATGATGTGATGTTACTGAGAATGTGATGTTACTGATGATGTGATGTTACTGATGATGTGATGTTACTGATGATGTGATGTTACTGATGATGTGGTGTTACTGATGACGTGATGTTACTGAGGATGTGATGTTACTGGTGATGTGATGTTATTGATGATGTGATGTTACTGATGATGTGATGTTAATGATGATGTGATGTTACTGATGATGTGATGTTACTGGTGATGTGATGTTACTGATGATGTGATGTTACTGATGATGTGATGTTACCGATGATGTGATGTTACTGATGATGTGATGTTACTGATGATGTGATGTTACTGATGATGTGATGTTTCTGATAATGTGATGTTGCTGTTGATGTGATGTTACTGATGATGTGATGCTACTGATGATGTGATGTTACTGGTGATGTGACGTTACTGATTATGTGATGTTACTGATGATGTGATGTTACTGATGATGTGATGTTATTGATGATGTGATGTTACTGATGATGTGATGTTACTGGTCATGTGATGTTATTGATGATGTGATGATACTGGTGATGTGATATTACTGATGATGTGATGTTACTGGTGATGTGATGTTATTGATGTGATGTTACTAATGATGTGATGTTACTGATGATGTGATGTTACTGATGTGATGTTACTGATGATGTGATGTTACTGACGATGTGATGTTACTGATGATGTGATGTTATTGATGATGTGATGTTACTGGTGATGTGATGTTACTGATGATGTGATGTTATCGATGATGTGATGTTACTGATGATGTGATGTTACTGATGATGTGATGTTACTGATGATGTGATGCTACTGATGATGTGATGTTACTGGTGATGTGATGTTACTGATGATGTGATGTTACTGATGATGTGATGTTACTGGTGATGTGATGTTACTGATGATGTGATATTACTGGTGATGTGATGTTACTGATGATGTGATGTTACTGCTGATGTGATGTTACTGATGGTGTGATGTAGTCCAGCTGGGCTTGTGAGGTCTCTGGGGAGACCTAATTTAACCAATTATATGGTCACACCTTGCCTTGGCAAACGTCTGTCAGCCACACCCACGTCTGAGGTCTTTTGTTCTTGACGGCATCAGACCTAGGCGTCAGGTCGTACACGTGGTTGTGGAGGGTGCTTGGACCACCATGAAAGCCCAAGGAAGAGCATGATCAGGAGATTCGAGCGGAGCTGCTGCTGGGGTGCAGAGCTCCGAGCAGAGACTTCGAGAGGAGCTGCTGCTGGGGTGCAGGGCTCGGGAGAGAGCTGGAGAGTCTCTGGAGGAGATTGTTGGAGACATTGGGCAGAGTACTGGCTTGAAGCAGTACTCGTGCTGTGTAGGTCTTGGGACCTGGGGCTTAGTTCCTGTAGTGAACTGTCCTCTGTGCTATATTGTAAGTTATATTCATTTTGGTCAAGTTGATTGTGTTCCCTGTCTCACTGCTTATACATACCATCCCATTTATCTAAACCAATGATGTACTCCTGTTCCCAAATATATTATTATACAAAGACTTAATAATAAACTGTGTTTGAGTAGAATAGTAATATTCACTGCCCACCGTTATTTATTCTTTTTTCTTATATTTTATTATGTTTATATGAGTGAAGAATGGGCGAGGCATATGTTAGTGAGTAGTGTAGAGTTAATGAGAGTGTCGTAGTGGTCACCAATGACCTGTCATTACCTACCTACCTCCGCTAATCATCTCACTCCTACCACCTCGCCTGCCTCTCCCCTGCCTACTTATATAGTCCCTTACTCCCATATTCCCCACTTATATCCTATTCAATCATTACCCCCCTACATGACATGGTGGCATAACAAGTATAACCGAGCAGTCAAAAGTAAGGCACATGGGACTGGTTCCTACTATAAAAATAATAAGAACCACCACCGCTTAGACACCATGTCATGTAGGGGGGTGATGATTGAATAGGATATAAGTGGGGGATATGGGAGTAGGGGGATTATGTAGGCAGGGGAGAGGCAGGCGAGGTGATAGGAGTGAGATGATTAGCGGAGGTAGGTAGGTAATGACAGGTCAGTGGTGACCACCACGACACTCTCATTAACTCTACTCTACTCACTAACATATGCCTCGCCCATTCTTCACTCATATATAAACATAATAAAATATAAGAAAAAAGAATAAATAACGGTGGGCAGTGAATATTACTATTCTACTCAAACACAGTTTATTATTAAGTCTTTGTATAATAATATATTTGGGAACAGGAGTACATCATTGGTTTAGATAAATGGGATGGTATGTATAAGCAGTGAGACAGGGAACACAATCAACTTGACCAAAATGAATATAACTTACAATATAGCACAGAGGACAGTTCACTACAGGAACTAAGCCCCAGGTCCCAAGACCTACACAGCACGAGTACTGCTCCAAGCCAGTACTCTGCCCAATGTCTCCAACAATCTCCTCCAGAGACTCTCCAGCTCTCTCCCGAGCCCTGCACCCCAGCAGCAGCTCCGCTCGAATCTCCTGATCATGCTCTTCCTTGGGCTTTCATGGTGGTCCAAGCACCCTCCACAACCATGTGTACGACCTGACGCCTAGGTCTGATGCCGTCAAGAACAAAAGACCTCAGACGTGGGCGTGGCTGACAGACGTTTGCCAAGGCAAGGTGTGACCATATAATGGGTTAAATTAGGTCTCCCCAGAGACCTCACAAGCCCAGCTGGACTACATCACAATGGTGTGATGTTACTGGTGATGTGATGTTACTGATGATGTGATGTTACTGGTGATGTGATGTTACTGATGATGTGATGTTACTGGTGATGTGATGTTACTGATGATGTGATGTTACTGGTGATGTGATGTTACTGATGGTGTGATGTTACTGGTGATGTGATGTTACTGATGAAATAATGTTACTGAAACATGGTAGATAATTTTAACATTTCAAGTCTTAAATGGACTTTCATAATTTTTTTCTTATTTCTTGCCATATATTGTTTACGTTTCCTGTCTTCTGCTCCCTCTCAAGTTTACTTATCTTCTGCGATATCCATATTTACTCTTTCTTCCCTTCGTTCACCCCTCCACCTACTTTCCATTCACCTCCTCGCAATCTACCGCCCAGTTACTGTGGGTGGCGTGGGTGGTGGGTGGCTGGTGACAACGCCCGCGAGCAGAGGATCATACTGGTGATCAGTTCCCTGTTACTCCTGCTGTTACTGCTCCTGCTCATACTACTCACCTTCACTCTAGGTATGTACTCCTCCGATCTCTAATTACCTCTGTAATTCTATATATATATATATAGCAAGCATTACGATGACCTCATAGCATTACTAAATTCCTTACATGCCAATATGTCCATCATTACACTAACTGAAACCTGGCTAAAGCCTGATACTACAGATGTCTATACCATTCCTGGTTACACAGCCATACACAACTGTAGGCCAGACCAACAAGGGGGTGGCACAGCCATATACTACTCAGACCAACTAGAATGTATCACTAATACTTGCACAAGAGATGAACATGGGGAATATATAATAGCCAAATTCAAATCCAAATACCTACGAAAACCTCTCACATTGATAAACATCTACAGAGTTCCACAGTCAAACATAGCCAATTTAGTCAAAACCTAGGAAGTAGATAACTGATGCACGCATGAACAAAGATCACTTACTACTCTCAGGTGACTTCAATATAAATCTCCTGCAAGACCAGGACCCACACGTTACTGAATTCACAAACACAATGAGTAACTGTATGTTGCTACCAACAGTAACAAAACCTACAAGAGTTACAGAGACTAGTTTTTCCCCTACTTGACCACATCTGGACCAACACCATATCCCCTTTAAAATCAGGCATATTACAGATAATACCACAGACCACTACCCTACTTTCCTCATAACAACTCTTGGTAAATTACCCCAAGACACTACTAAAGTCACCTTCAGACTTCACAATGAGGCAGCCATTAATAACTTCACAACAGCATTAGCAAACATTGATTGGCACACTGAGCTAGAAATCAATACAGATATTGACGAATGTATTAATAATTTTCTAAAAAAGACTCAATACCTCTATAACAAGCACTGCCCTAAAAAAACTAAGCAGATGACAGCTAAGAGTCTGAACAGTCCCTGGCTAACACCCAGCATTCTCAAATCCATAAATACAAAACACCAATATGAAAAACAGTACAGAATGGGTCACATAACCAGAGACCAAACAAAACGTTACTCGTCAATCCTAACCAGCCTGATAAGAAGGGCAAAAAAAATTGTATTATGAGAACAGATTATCCAACTTACGAGGTGATATAAAAAAGACCTGGAAAACCCTATCAGAAATTCTGGGAACAAAAAAGATATCACGAAATAGCGAAATAAAATTAGCAAAATCAGATGAACCCCAACCCCCACCAACAGAAACAGCAAACAGACTCAATGATTTCTTCTCCACTATAGGACAAAACCTTGCCAAAAAAATCCCAAGCTCAGATACCCCACCAAATGACTACCTCACCGGCAACTACCCGAACACACTGTTCCTAGCCCGACTAACCCATACGAAGTCCCCCTTAATTATCAACGCACTAAAAAACAAGGCAGGAGATTTAAATACCTTACCACCCTTTATATACAAAAAAGTGTCACAAGTGCTATCCCCAATCATTGCAACACTCTTTAACAAATCCATTGAACCCTTTCCACCTTCCCTACAGTACTCAAAATAGCAAGGGTCACCCCGATCCACAAAGGAGGAGACCAAACAGAGTTGAATAACTATAGGCCAATATCCAACTTACACCCTCTCTCAAAATCTTCGAAAAATTAATTCATAAACGAATCTACTCCTACCTTATCTCCCAAAACATACTCAACCCCTGCCAATTTGGATTCAGGCCTAATAAAATACTAATGATGCTATTATACACATGCTAGAACATATATACACTGCAATAGAGAAAAAAGAAGTCCCACTGGGGATCTTCATTGACTTACGTAAAGCTTTTGATACAGTTGACCATGACTTGCTCCACGTAAAATTATCACACTATGGTATAAGAGGGCACTCCCTCAACTACCTCAAGTCATACCTCAGCAACAGAAGCCAATATGTGTACGCAAAGGGGGCAAACTCTTCTGCACAACCAATTACAGTTGGTGTCCCACAGGGAAGTGTCCTTTGGCCCTCTTCTCTTTCTCCTATACATAAATGACCTACCAAATGCTTCTCAATTACTCAAACCCACACTATTTGCTGATGACACAACATACGTCTTCTCCCACCCGAGCCAGTCACGCTAGCCAATACTGTAAATACCGAATTACAGAAAATATCTACCGGGATGAGTACTAACAAACTTACACTAAACATTGACAAAACCTACTTCATTCAGTTTGGTAACAGAGCTACAGATGTCCCTCTTAACATAATGATAAACGGATCACCTATCACAAAGCTAACAGAGGGAAAATTCTTAGGAATCCACCTTGATAATAGACTCAAATTTCATACACATATACAACAAATTTCTAAGAAAATTTCCCAAAGACTGTAGGCATACTATCGAAGATACGGTACTATGCTCCACAGTCAGCCCTCCTGGCCCTATATCACTCTCTTATTTACCCCTATCTCACCTATGGAATTTGTGCATGGGGCTCAACAACAAGTAACCATCTCAGACCACAAAATTACCCAACAAAAGGCTGCAGTTAGAATGATACAAATTCTCACTACAGGCAGCACACTCCACCAATATTCAATACACTCAACCTACTCACCATACAAAACATCCATACTTATTACTGCACCTATTACATACATAGAACACTCAACTCTGATATTAACCCTCCCCTCAAACATCTCCTTGCCAACCTCAACAGAACACATGACCATAACACAAGGCACAGATCACTCTTTGATATTCCTCGTGTCCATCTCACGCTATGCAAAAACTCAATGCACATAAAAGGCCTAAAATCTGGAATTCATTCCCTGTAAATATAAAAGAAACACTACCTGTTTATAAATTCAAGTCTCTTCTCAAAGATCACTTACTCACCCAAAACCAAATAAATACTGAATAACTGAACCTTATAAATTGTATATCTTAAATGTTTCTCACAATTATATCACATAAATGTTAAACCTAAAACCCAATCTAACTTTATTATTTTTTAAATTCACTACCTAACAGAATACTCCATTCTACTGAATTTACAACAATGCATACAACCATATGACCTGTCTTTGTAATACTCACTTGTGCTTTATAGTAATCTGTTTACATTAATGTTTTTCACTGATTTCATCATTGCTTAGTTAATCTTAAGTTAATTTTAAGCCAGCCCGTAATGCTATGCATAGTATAAGTGGCTTTGGCATGCTGCTCTTATCTGTATTTTTTTTTGTACCTCTGTAAGTGTGCTCAAATTATAAATAAATAAATAAATAAATAAATAAATATATATATATATATATATGTCGTGCCGAATAAGGAAAACTTGCGATTTTGGCTTAAGGAGCAACGCTCTTCTTGCCGAATAAAGCAAGCGAAAATTTGTGTATACAATAATTTTGAAAAAATCATTCTGAACCTAACGAAAAAAAATATACAGAATTTTATTATGTTTGTTCATAATTAAATAATTGTAAACTTATATAAAATATTTAGTTGAATTAGGCTGAATTAAATTGCACTTTTTATTATAAGGTTAGGTAAGTTTCCTAAGGTCCTTTTGGTACAAAATCATTAATTTTTATATTAACATAAATGAAAAAATATATCTTTAAATGTAAGAGAAAATTTTAGAAAAAAAAAATTAATTTTAAACGAGTTCTTGCTAACTGACCAGTTTTACTTATTCGGCACGACTTATATATTTTCTTGGAAGAGTTTAAACCCGTGTGGGTCATTCATCTGCACTTATATGACCCGAAACGTTGTTTATATCATGACTGTAAAATCATTAATTTATATGTGATTTTCATACATATACTTATGTACTTACAAAGCTTTTACAAAGATTAAAATTTACATTAAAATTTCATGAAAATAAGTCTCTCTCTCTCTCTCTCTCTCTCTCTCTCTCTCTCTCTCTCTCTCTCTCTCTCTCTCTCTCTCTCTCTCTCTCTCTCTCTCTCCTCTCTCTCCCTCTCTTCCTCTCTCTCTCTCTCTCTCTCTCTCTCTCTTCTCTCTCTCTCTCTCTCTCTCTCTCTCTCTCTCTCCAGGTGTTTTCATTGCTCTCCCCACCAAGACGTGCACCAGCGCCGAGTGTGTCAAGACAGGTGAGTTTCCTCTCCCAAGGTCATCTATCCAATCCTAAGTCACTCCATTATTAAAGGTAAATTGTCATTCATCTCAGGTGACCTACGCACCATCCCAGGTCCCTCCCACCACACCAGGTCCCTCCCAACACACCAGGTCCCTCCCACCACACCAGGTCCCTCCCAACACACCAGGTCCCTCCCAACACACCAGGTCCCTCCCACCACACCAGGTCCCTCCCAACACACCAGGTCCCTCCCACCACACCAGGTCCCTCCCACCACACCAGGTCCCTCCCACCACACCATGGTCCCTCCCCCACACCAGGTCCCTCCCACCACACCAGGTCCCTCCCACCACACCAGGTCCCTCCCACCACACCAGGTCTCTTCCACCACACCAGGTCCCTCCCACCACACCAGGTCCCTCCCACCACACCAGGTTCCTCCCACCACGCCAGGTCCCTCCCACCACGCCAGGTCTCTCCCACCACACCAGGTCCCTCCCACCACACCAGGTCCCTCCCACCACACCAGGTCCCTCCCACCACACCAGGTCCCTCCCACCACACCAGGTCCCTCCCACCACACCAGGTCCCTCCCAGGTCTCTCCCACCACACCAAGTTACTTTCTCAAGTGTGTAACTCATCCAGTGTGATAAAATATGACAAGAAAACATTCATAGCTTTGTTTCCCACAGCATAACTATCATACAGAACATAGCTAGCTTTTGTTCCCATAATGTGACTACTACACAGCAACGTAACTAGCTTTTTTTTGGTTCTCTGCAAACGTTATTATCACTTAAATTCTGGTATCAGCGTACTACAAAGTTCTCGAAGTTTGTTCAAATCTACCAGGTCACCTCAGAAGACTAGGTCACTCCACTGATTTCTCTTGACCTTGCAGCTAGTTACATCTTAAGGTCGCTTAATGAGGAGGTGTCTCCTTGCGAGAACTTCGCGGAGTTCACCTGCGGAGGCTGGCGCCGGGAGAACCCTATACCCGAGGGCAAGTACCGCTGGGGAGTCTTCGACGTGCTCGACCAGCAGACACTTCTCGACGTCAGGGGTGAGTGTCGACCTCCAGGACATCACCTCCACACGCTAATTATATCACTTCAAAAACAGGAAACACAGCATTAAATTCTTCTTTTCTTTAACAGCCTAACACACGAGAAAATTGTAGTCAAACGCTGAACATAACTGAACACCACAACACAACGCTAAGATTTATTGCTTTCTGCAGCACTGTATGACCCTTACTGGTTTAACACTTAATATGATCGTGGTAATAATAATAATAATAATTATTATTATAATAATAATACTTTACTACAATGAACAGTGGGAAAGTTCAGTCAGAAGCTTCGCCATCATCATCATCACATCATCATCATCACCAGCAACACCATCATTACCACCATCATCATCACCACCATCATTACCACCATCATCACCACCACCACCACCACCATCATTACCATCACTACCATCATTACCACAACCAGCACCTTTAACACTGTCATGATCTTCACCCCCACCATTAACACCATTTAAAACAGATCATCCAACTTAAACTAATATAAATTTGTATCTTATTCCCAAAAGTAACCTAAATGATCATGTTGACACAGTCTGAAGTTACTTGTGTAATTATCAAACTGGAATATCCAGCGTTGACGATTATCTTACAAACTAAGATCGGGGAGTGACTGGATGTTTATCTTCCAGGGATGTTGGAGGAGGAGGTCAGGGCGAAGGAACCCTACCCAATCAGGGCTTCTAAAATCATCTATCAGGCTTGTGTTAATGACAGTAAGTGTCTCTCTTGTTATATATATTTGGGGATTCAGCGATGAGGTAGAGCAAGTTGCTGAAGTATATTTTCCTTGTGTTGGTATGCTGACACCGATTGAGTGAATTTTAGACTCGACTCCAGTAATAACTACCACAGGATATCAACCTCGAAGGTATAATAATGGTGTATAATAACGCCATAGGGACCTAGTGCTGTTGTTTTGCCAGGAGGTAGCAGTGTCGTTCCCTGCCAAATGACGCTACACAGCTGATTTCAGATTCATTCAGTAACTGGTGCAATCGACAAATTAGATGGAGAGCGACCATTTCTGAAACCATATTATCACTCTTTCCTTTTAGCAAACTGGGAGAAGGTAGGCCTACGACCTCTACTGAACATATTGTCGAAGGAGGGGGGTCTACCCATGCTGGAGCCTCAGTGGAGTAGCCAGGCCTTCCAGCTGACGAAGAGACTCGCTAGCCTCAGGAGGACACTGGCCAGCCAGGCTTTAATAAGCCTGACGGTGCAGCCTGATAGCTTCAACACCTCTGTCTCTCTCATTTACGTGAGTCTCGCCAATGAGAAATTTTCTGCCAATAGTTGTTATCCATTTATTAAGACGTGTTATGGTGGTGCAGAGTGTCGCAGAGTATTGTATGTGTGCCATGGTATAATACACGTCAGCAGGTTCCTGAGTGACACGAGGGGCACTATATTAAAGAAAAACATTATCTAAATGTATTTTATCTCATTTTTCTCGTTTACCTTCTTTTTTTCCTTCCACCCATTTATCCACTCCTCTAATTCCATTTTTCTCGTATCCTTCACCCATTCGTCCATTCTTCCTTTCCTTTCTTCACCACCTTCCCTCAGATTCATTAAGTCTCTTCTCCCTCACAGCTGAGTGAGGGTATCCTCCCTCTTCGTCGTGGGTACCTCCTCCCTTCCTCCTCTTCCATCCTGGAGGAGCACAAGGCTAGTCAGATCTCCTATATGAGGAGGACGGGCACAGAGCTCCTGAAGGAGGCAGGAAGGTTGAGGAACCAAACCCACAGACTCACCCTTTACAAGGACATCGACGACCTGTGGGAGTTCTACGTTAAGGTGGCTGAGGTGAGACGGGCCTTGAAGTGTGTATATAATTGTGCCAGAGGGGGTTGAGCCCTAGTTCTTGGGCTCAACCTTTGCACTTCGATTAAGTGCTCTTTTAGAATAGGCAGACATACTTGTGCAAGAAAAGTTGGATGTCCATAAGACCTGCTTAGCGTAGGTCTACTTCACTGCTCTTAAAATTTTAAGTTCTTAAGTAACTAAACCCGCTTGTCGTAAAGAACGTCAACCTGAACAAACTTTTTTATAACCCGCCATCTCTCCCTTGTGATGTAGTTCAGCTGGGCTTGTGAGGTCTCTGGGGAGACCTAATTTAACCAATTATATGGTCACACCTTGCCTTGGCAAACGTCTGTAGCCACGCCCACGTCTGAGGTCTTTTGTTCTTGACTGCGTCAGACCTAGGCGTCAGGTCGTACACGTGGTTGTGGAGGGTGCTTGGACCACCATAAAAGCCCAAGGAAGAGCATGATCAGGAGATTCGAGCGGAGCTGCTGCTGGGGTGCAGAGCTCCTGAGCAGAGATTCGAGCGGAGCTGCTGCTGGGGTGCAGAGCTCCTGAGCAGAGACTTCGAGCGGAGCTGCTGCTGGGGTGCAGGGCTCGGGAGAAGGCTGCTGAAGTCTCTGGAGGAGACTGTTGGAGGCATTGGGCAGAGTACTGGCTTGGCGCAGTACTCGTGCTGTGTAGGTCATGGGACCTGTGGCTTAGTTCCTGTGATGAACTGCCCTCTGAACTATATTGTAAGTTACATTCATTTTGGTCAAGTTGATTGTGTTCCCTGTCTCACTGCTTATGTGTACCACCACATTTATCTAAACCACAATAATGTTCTCCTGTTCCCAAATATATTATTGTTCAAAGACTTAATAATAAACTGTGTTTGAGTAGAATAGTAATATTCACTGTCCCCGTTATTTATTCTTTGTACAATAATATATTTGGAAACAGGAGAACATTATTGTGGTTTAGATAAATGGGGTGGTACACATAAGCAGTGAGACGGCACACAATCAACTTGACCAAAATGAATGTAACTTACAATATAGTTCAGAGGGCAGTTCATCACAGGAACTAAGCCACAGGTCCCAAGACCTACACAGCATGAGTACTGCGCCAAGCCAGTACTCTGCCCAATGTCTCCAACAGTCTCCTCCAGAGACTTCAGCAGCCTTCTCCCGAGCCCTGCACCCCAGCAGCAGCTCCGCTCGAAGTCTCTGCTCAGAAGCTCTGCACCCCAGCAGCAGCTCCGCTCGAATCTCTGCTCAGGAGCTCTGCACCCCAGCAGCAGCTCCGCTCGAATCTCCTGATCATGCTCTTCCTTGGGCTTTTATGGTGGTCCAAGCACCCTCCACAACCACGTGTACGACCTGACGCCTAGGTCTGACGCAGTCAAGAACAAAAGACCTCAGACGTGGGCGTGGCTACAGACGTTTGCCAAGGCAAGGTGTGACCATATAATTGGTTAAATTAGGTCTCCCCAGAGACCTCACAAGCCCAGCTGAACTACATCACACCCTCACTGACCTCTGTAAAAAAATATATTAATTTTATTAAAAATACTCGACCCCTCCTTTCTCTACGATAGATCACATCATCTAACGAGGCTGAGCAGAACCCTTGGCAGACTTATAACCCCATGACGGTGAAGAACCTCCAGACTCTCACTGACACCATCAACACCTCCTTCAAGGTGAGGTCCGGCTCAGAGGTCCTTCAGGTTACATATTCACCTCTCGAGTGAGATCATCTCACCATCTTTGTGACTCTTAATTCAATAGGTTAAAGTTGGGCCCACATTCAAATAGAGCGTATATAGTAGTGGACCACATCCTGGCTAGTGGTGCACCATAACCACATCTACGTCTTGAAATGAGGTAGAATAAGAGTTAATAGTCAATCAAGGTAACAATTAACAGTAATAATAATAATAATCATAATCATAATAATAATAATAATAATAATAATAATAATAATAATAATAATAATAATAATAATAATTATAATAATAATAATAATAATAATAATAAATAATAATAATAATAATGATAATGGTAATAATAAAATTATATTTTATAAGTATTAAACTTGTATGGGTCAGGCAGCGGCACACACGCTTGAAATGCCTTGGAATAAGACCTGATAACCCACCTTCTTTATAATGTCTGGTCTTGTGCAGAAGAGATGTCACTTCGACATGCTTTACATTTCCTTTATATCTGACTGGGAAATGACTGTGTGAGGCTGCTGCAGGTGGACTGGCTGTTGTACCTGAGGCAGGTGTTCCAGGACACTAACATTACCCTCAACGAGGAGGAAGTAGTAGTGGTGGAGAACCCTCAGTACTTCGTCAGGCTGGTCCTCCTCCTGCAAGACACTCCGTTAAGAACCATTGGTAAGAAACATCTTCCGCCTACTCATCACATGACCAAGGGCCTGACTGGGACGCAACGGATCGGTTGGGATTCAAACCCGCTCCCAACTTGCCTGTTTAACAAGTAACATCATGTTTATCTAAGAAACAATCGACCCTCCTGTGAAGCACTTTATCCCCGGTGGTATGTATTATCCCCGGTGGTATGTATTATCCCCGCTGGTATGTTTTATCCCCGGTGGTATGTATTATCCCCGGTGGTATGTATTATCCTCGGTGGTATGTATTATCCCCGGTGGTATGTATTATTCTCGGTGGCAGGTATTATCCCCGGTGGTATGTATTTTCCCCCGGGGGGCATGTATTATCCCGGTGGGATGTATTATCCCGGTGGTATGTTTATCCCGGTGGGATGTATTATCCCGGGGTATTATTATCCCCCGGGGGATGTTTTATCCCCCCTGGAAGTATTATCCCCGGTGGTTGATTATCCCCCGGGGATGTTTATCCCCTGGGTAGTATTTTCCCCGGTGGTATGTATTTTCCCGGTGGTATGTATTATCCCGTGGGATGTTTATCCCCGGGGTTATGTATTATCCCCCGGGGGTAGTATTACCCCGGGGGTATGTTTTTATCCCCGTGGTAGTATTTCCCCCCGGGGTTTTGTTTATCCCCCGGGGGATGTTTTTTCCCCCGGGGGGTATGTATTATCCCCCTGGGATGTATTCCCCCCCGGGGGTATGTATTACCCCCTGGTATGCTTATCCCCCTGGTTGTATTATCCCCCGGGGTTTTTGAATTTTCCCCGGGGGTATTTTTTCCCCGGGGGTATGTATTAAACCCCGGGGGTATGTATATCCCCGGTGGTATGTATTATCCCCCCGGGGATGTATTATCCCCGGGGGATTATTTTAGGGGTGATTTCCCCCCGGTTTGGGATGTATTATCCCCGGTGGAGTTTACCCCGGGGTATTTATTATCCCCGGTGGTATTATTATCCCCTTCCCCATTTTCCCCGGTGGTATGTATTATCCCGGTGTTATGTATTTCCCGGTGGTATGTATTTTCCCCCCCGGGGGTTTTATTTTCCCCCGGTGGATTATTATCCCCCCGGGGGTTATTATTATCCCCGGTGGCTTAATCCCCGGGGCCCCTTTATTATCCCCGGTTATGTATTATCCCTTTTGTATTATTTCCCCCTTGGTTTTATTTTTCCCCGGTGGATTTATTATCCCCGGTGGATGTATTATTTCCCCCCTTTTTGTATTATCCCGGTGGATGTATTATCCCCCTGGTGTTTATCCCCGGGGTTATGTATTATCCCCGGTGGATGTTTTCCCCGGTGGGATGTATTTTTCCCCGGTGGATGTATTATCCCGGGGGGGTTTTGTATTTCCCCGGTGGTTTTTATTATCCCCCGGGGGATGTTTATCCCCGGTTTGGGATTTTTATCCCCGGTGGTTTTATTTTCCCCGGGGTATGTATTATCCCCGGGGGTATGTATTATCCCCCGGGGGTATGTATTTCCCCCGGGGGTATGTATTATCCCGGTGGTATGTTTTATCCCCGGGGGTTGTATTACCCCGGGTATTATTTCCCGGTGGTATGTATTATCCCCGGTGGTATGTATTATCCCCGGTGGTATGTATTATCCCCGGTGGTATGTATTATCCCCGGTGGTATGTATTATCCCCGGTGGTATTGTATTATCCGGGTGGTACATGTATTATCCCCGAGTGGTATTGTATTATCCCCGGTGGTATGTATTATCCCGGTGGTATGTATTATCCCCGGTGGTATGTATTATCCCCGGTGGTTTGTATTATCCCCGGGTGGTTATGTTATTATCCCCGGTTGGTATGTTTTATCCCCGGTGGTATGTATTATCCCCGGTGGTATGTATTATCCCCGGTGGTATGTATTATCCCCGGTGGTATGTATTATCCCCGGTGGTATGTATTATCCCCGGTGGTATGTATTATCCCCGGTGGTATGTATTATACACCAGTCTGGACAAGATACCTTGACTTTGCTCACAGTAAATAAAGCTTCACCGGGTAAAAGGACACAAGTACAACTAACGTTTCGCTCTCCAGGAGGTTTATCAAGCCGGCTTTATAAAGCTCCTGGAGAGCGAAACGTTGCCACAATAAAATGTCTCATTAGTTGCACTTGTGTCTTTTTACCTGACATATTGTTGATAATTCTACCAACGTTAACACAAAGTATTAAAACTTTTGTTTGTTTGTTTGTTTGTTTGTTTGTTTGTTTGTTAGTGTGTTGTGTGTGAGTTTGTGGTGTGTGTGTGTGTGCTGTGTGTTGTGTGTGAGTGTGTGTGTATGTGTTGTGTGTGTGTGTGTGTGTGTGTGTGTTGTGTGTGTGTGTGTCGCTGTGTGGGTGTGTGTGTGTGTAGTGGTGTGTGATGTGTGTAGTGGCGTGTGTGGTGTGTCGTGTGTGTGTGTTGTGTGTGTGTGTGTGTGTTGTGTGTGTGTTTGTGTGTGTGTGTAGTGTGTGTGTTGTGTGTGTGTGTGTGTGTATGTGTTGTGTAGTGTGTGTGTATGAGTGTGTGTGTGTGTGTGTTGGTGTGTGTGATGTGTTGTTCTGGTGTGTGTGTCGTGTGTGTGTGTGTGTGTGTGGTGTGTGTGTGTGTGACCTTATACGGTTGTGACCAGATATAAACTTGTACAAAGTTCATTACCAGTGTAACTTGTCAGTATCAAAAACTCGTGTCCCTGGATCATTATGTACCTCTGTAATGTGAGTTTACAGTCCGGATCCATTATGTTCCACTGTAATGTTGAGTTACAGTCCCTGGATCATTATGTACTCTGTAATGTTGAATTACAGTCCCTGGATCCATTATGTACCTCTGTAATGTTGAGTTACAGTCCCTGGATCCATTATGTACTCTGTAATGCTGAGAGTTACATTCCCTGGATCCAATATGTACCTCTGTATGTTGAGTTACAGTCCTGGATCCATTATGTTACCTCTGTAATGTTGAGTTACAGTCCCTGGAACCATTATGTACCTCTGTAATGTTGAAGTTACAGCCCCTGGATTCCCATTATGTATCTCTGTTAAAATTTTGTTGAGTTACAGGTCCCTGGCATCCTTATGTACCTCTGTAATGTTGAGTTACAGTCCCTGGATCCATTATGTTACCTCTGTAAATGTTGAGTTACAGTCCCTGGAACCATTATGTACCTCTGTAATGTTGAGTTACAGTCCCTGGATCCATTGTGTACCTCCGTAATGTTGAGTTACAGTCCCTGGATCCATTATGTACCTCTGTAATGTTGAGTTACAGTCCCTGGATCTATTATGTACCTCTGTAATGTTGAGTTACAGTTCCCTGGATCCATTATGTACACTCCGTAATGTTGTGTTACAGTCCCTGGATCCATTATGTGCCTCTGTTATGTTGGCAGTTACAGTCCCTGGCATCCTATGTACACTTTGGTAATGTTGAGTTACAGTCTGGATCCACTTTATGTACCTTGTAATGTTGAGTTACAGTCCCTGGATCCATTATGTACCTCTGTAATGTTGAGTTACAGTCCCTGGATCCATTATGTACCTCTGTAATGTTGAGTTACAGTCCCTGGATCCTTTATGTACCTCTGTAATGTTGGTACAGTCCCTGGATCATTATGTTACCTCTGTAATGTTGAGTTACAGTCCCTGGATCCATTATGTACTCACTGTAATGTTGAGTTGAGTCCTGGATCCATTATGTACCTCTGTAATGTTGAGTTACAGTCTGGATCCATTATGTACCTCCTGTAATGTTGAGTTACAGTCCTGGATCCATTATGACCTCTGAATGTTGAGTTACATTTCCCTGGATCCAATTATATACCTCTGTAATGTTGAGTTACATTCCCTGGATCCATTATGTACCTCTGTAATATTGAGTTACATTCCCTGGATCCATTATATACCTCTGTAATATTGATTACAGTCCCTGGATCCATTATGTACCCTGTAAACGTTGAGTTACATTCCCTGAATCCCATTATATAACTCTGTTTTTTTTTTTTTTTATCCATTTTATTTTTTTTTTTTTTATTATTTTTTTTTTTTTTAATTTTTTTTCTTTTATGTTGAGTTTACAGTCCCTGGGATTCATTATGTACCTCTGTAATGTGAGTTACCAGTCCCTGGACCATTATGTACCTCCGTAATGTTGAGTTGCAGTCCCTGGATCCATTATGTACCTGTATAATGTTGAGTTACAGTCCCTGGCTCCATTATGTACCTCTGTAATGTTGAGTTACAATCCATGGATCCATTATGTACCTCCGTAATGTTGAGTTGCAGTCCCTGGATCCATGATGTACCTGTTGTGTAATGTTGAGTTACAGTCCCTGGATCCATTATGTACCTCTGTTGTGGCATGCAAAGAGTACGTAACCTTTATTCGGCGCATGTACACACCCTCATTTACAGGCTATCTCCCCCAACCAGCGAACCAGGTGACTAAGAGTTGATGATGGGGCCCCGTCGTTCAACTAGTACCCAGGTTCCAGCCAATAAGAAGATGGTTTTCGCAATCGCAGAGGTTATGTGGGTACCACTCTCCTGTCTGCCCTTGTCATTCCCATTCTAGAGCTGGTTGAAGCACGGTCTGCTCTCTTGTGGCTTCTATTCTGCCTTGCTTACCGTGGAGTGCACTAATACCTATCACTGTACATAGTGTATATAGTGTACATATTGCTGTTCTAAATTTGTGATGGATAATATAAGTCAAAACTTTTCTGCTGAGTTTATTTTGCTCCCTTTACACCCAGGACAACAGGCCATTTGGACTCCTGGGTTGTAGTATCTGTAATGTTGAGTTAGTCCCTGGATCCATTATGTACCTCTGTAATGTTGAGTTACAGACCCTGGATCCATTATGTACCTCTGTAATGTTGAGTTACAGACCCTGGATCCATTATGTACCTCTGTAATGTTGAGTTACAGTCCCTGGACCCATTAGGTACCTCTGTAATGTTGAGGTACACTCCCTGGACCCA